AACCAATTGCAGAAGTGAAGAAACCTCAAATAGTCCGAAATAAAGTGAAAAAAGATTAAAGAACAACCTACTCTGATACCATGTTAGTTTGTGTGTGTGTGTGTGTGTGAGAGAGAGAGAGAGAGAGAGAGAGACTTCAGATCTATTATGATTGATTAGTATAATCGAACCAACCCAAAAAATAGAATTTATATTAATAAGAGAATGAATAGGATTATCCTTACAAAAAAAAATAAAGGTACAATGTTGTACAAGACAGAACACTAATATACACGCCTACTAGTTTATAATAAAAAGAGTAAAATTACATAACTACCTTCCATCTTCTCTACACTTTAGAACCCATTTAATCCATTAGGCATGAAACCTAAATTTGAACAACACCCTCTCAATAGAATCCCATTAAAGCTTATCATAAACCTTCTCTATATCAATTTTACAAACTTCATGTAATGAAACATTTCATGAGCAATGAGAATATTGTTAGTGCTTTGCTTATTAAGTACAAAAGCACTCTAGAATGGGAATATAATGTTATCTAAGTAAGATTTGCGATGATTCACCATGAGTATAGACCAAAATTTTAAACCATAGAGTATAAACCAAAATTTTAAAAGAAAAGTGCATTTAAACCATAAGGACCAAGATCCTTTAGATCCTGAATGGTAAGAAGAGTATTAAGGATCTATTAATTAGTCACACTTTTAATTAGATTTTGATTGATATCATCAAAGAACAAAGATACAATAATTGATATCAATAATAGCCTCATCAATACCATAAGTGCCCTTAGCTTTAAATCTATTCTAAATATTGAAACAAAATGGCTTTGAATATCATTATTCTCGTAGATCCACTCACCTTCTTCATTCTTAATTCTAGTGATTTTGTTTCATTTTTTCTAATGGCAGTCACAATATGAAAAAATTTATTGTTCTTGTCACCCAATTTTAACAAATTAATTCTAAATTTTTGCTCCCAAAACACTTTCTCATGAGACAAAATACTATCTAATTGTTTTTGGAGAGCACAATCCTGATGAATTAGAGAATGATAAGAAGGATCATTTAATAATAACTTTTGAATGATGAATATTTCCAAAATGATTTGCATTCCATTTCTTTGATTTCTGGAAAGGAATATTTGTTTTCTTTATAAGTCGAATTAGAACCATGGTTTAAAAAAATGACCCGGACTTGGAACCGTTTTGGCCACCAGTTTCCAAGTCGATGGTCCAACCGTTCGGTTCGAACGGACGGCCAGTTCTACCAAAAAATTAAAAATAAAAACGGCCAAAACTGTTGAATGGATCGACTATTCGACCGTTTGGATCAATGGGTCGTTGACTTTTTCAATGATTTTTGGCCAATGATTGGGTTTAAGGTAAAATGGAACCGATTGCCTGGACAGTTCTCGAGCCGAACAGTGATCGTCTGGATCAATGACGGTTAAAAAACCATGTCTGGAACCATTAATTTGACTATCCTAATCACATTTCACAATGTCTACAAGTTTAGGCTCATTACGCCACATAGCCTTAAATCTAAAAGGCTTAGGACTCGACATTTGATGAACACAAGTACCAAGGAGGAGCGGTGTGTGATCCGATGCAAGAAAAAGGATGATGAAAAAGGTAACCATTAAGAAATTCACACCTCCAAATATCATTGATTAAAATTCAATCCAGTCTTCCCTTAATAAAAGAGTTTTTCCAAGTAGACTACATTTCCCTCGTATCCAAATCAAATAGATTATAATCATTAATAAGATTATTAAACTCACGTGTTTAACTTGGGAAGACACTCCCCCCTCTCCCCTCCCCCACATTTGTTTGAGCTATCTCTAATTGAATTAAAATCACCAATAAGGCTCCACACTCTCTCTAAAGTAATAGCAATTTCTTTTATACAATTCACTAACGGTTCTTATTTATTGGGAGGAGCATAAACAAAGGTATCATTTTGTGGCCATTAATGATAAAATGAACAAACCTGTCATTAGATAAAATGACATTTACAATACATTGGCTTGAGTCCCATGATATCCAAAGACCCTCAGAAATACCCAGACTCAACAAAGGAACTATCAAAAGGAAGAGACTCGATATTTTCTTTTTCTTTTCTTTTTTTTTTTTTGCACAGTTAGGATTGTCTCTAGTTTCCATAAGAAAACAAACAATATTTTATGAGATATAGATATTTCAAGCACATGACGTCTAGGACAAGGCCGACTAGCCCCTCTAACGTTCCAACTCACAATCCATATCTCTAATCAATTTTGCAACTATATCCATATTGTCTATTGTTTCATGAAGTTTTGAACTCTTATCATACTCAATTAACATCTGTTTACCATTAACTTCACTATTCAGGTTGTTTTCCCAAGTTCCATTCTTCTCTAGCCCTTCCCAATCATCTTCCATGGTAGCATCACCACCTTCTTTCAACCTTTTCAAGGTGCCAACAGTTGGTTGATAAGGTGGGGATAAATCTTACATGTACTAGGGTTTGGGAGTGTTATGGGTTTAGGGGATGGACTACCTTGTTGTATAACCCCGTGAAGAAAAACAAATGCCAAAAAAACAAACTTGGCCTAGTTGGTAAGACTTGCTTGTTGTAGTGGAGACTTGGGATAGAATCCCACCTGCACCAGAGTTGAGAGGTTATGGGTTTGGAATTTGCTACCTGTTGTGAAAAGGAAAAAAAAAAACTGGAATAGTGTGGGCAGGGAAAACTTTGGTTGTTACTTATAAAAAAAATAAATTGATTGTTTGGGGTCAATAATTTCGGCTACTTTCTCATGTGGGCAAATCAAGCCATCCACTAAAGTAAGGGATCTTGAACTATCCATCTGCACGATAATCCAATACACATTAGGTTGCGTTTATTTGTGGTGCAAAATGTCATTGTCACTACCGATTCGATTTTGTCTACATTTGGATGGAGTGTAAAATGTGATCGGTGTAAAATGTCACTTCCAGTTCGGTTTTGTCCGCCTTTGGATGGAGATGAGGTTTATATCATAAACCAATGTAAGTGATGTTTTACATCGACTATCGATGTAGTATTACATCAATAATCACCTTTTTCGGTATTCACTTTTTCAATAATTTAGAAATTTTCAAATGATTCGGTGTGAAACTCCATTGATGGAGTTTTACATCGATAATGTTTACATTGTAAATAAACACAAACTTAGTTTAATATGCCATTTTCTATAAGGAAAATTCCCGATTAGTACCATGTACTTTGGGTGTAATGTAATGTTAGTCCCTGAACTTTAAAATGCAACAATTCAATACTTGAACTTTCAAAACGTGTCAATCCAGTACCTATCGTTGACCAGTCGTTAGTTATGTATATCACATGATGACATGTGCAATTTAAAATTTTTGAAAATGTTAAAATTACCCTTCAAAACATTGTTCATCATCTTCTTCCTTATGAATTAAGATTGAACCAAAGCAACAGTGAACAACCCCAAACCCGGGTTGCATTTGAAACTTTCCAACAATTGAATCATGTCTTTGTGCGACAAATGACAGCTATCTCAGCATTGTCCAACATACATGAAGACATCTACACCAGCATAGAAAGAAAGAAGGTGGCAATAGTGATTCTTCCATTCCACAAGCATCAGAGGCTCGATGGTGCAATGGAGACAACAAGAACAAACTTTAGGTGGGTCAACCAAAGGGTCCTTGATCAAGCTGCATGCTCTGCCATTACATTTGGTCCTTTTTGCAGCAATGATTCAAGAAGAAAATTAGATGACACCCGAAGGACATTTGTGTCTTTTTGTTTGCCACTTAACGGTTGGTTAACGACATGTATTAGATTGACACGTTTTAAAAGTTTGGGTACTGAATTGTCGCATTTTAAAGTTCGGAGGACCAAAGTAACACTAGGCCCAAAATGTGAATTTTCCCTTTATATAACTTTGTATGACACCTATACAATCAACCATGGTCCTCATTTGGGCTTAGTTTTGTCGGACTTGAATAGGAGAGAAAATCAGTTTTACCACTTATCAAACTGGTTAGCTCATTTAGGCTGCATTTGGCATTCCTTATTTTAAGGATTTGTCTCATTTTTTGTAATTAAAAATTCATTGTTCATAGAAGCGTTTTAATTGAAAAAGGGAGATAAGTCCTTAAAATAAAGAATGCGTGGGATTTGCTCCTCACACAGTGCGCATCACTACGATCTCACAGGCACACCCCATCGTTAGACCTGTTCATGGGTCGGGCTCGGGCCGGGCTTTCACTCTGTATTAACAGATTTTTCTAAGGCTCGAGTCCGAGCCCGACCCTCATAAAAAGCCCGAAGCCTAGGCCTGAGCCCGAGCCCAAAATTTATCCCATGTTGTTACTATTGCTGAAACGACTGAATAGAGAGAGAGAGAGAGAGAGAGAGAGAGTGAGAGAGAAATTATAAAGAAAAAATAAAAAAATGTATATATTAAATTATAAATATATATATTTCAATAAATATTATATTATTTATATATTTTATATAATATATAAAATACATATTATGTATTTTATAAAATATATAATGATGAGTCGGGCCAGGCCGGGCTCGGGTTGGACTTTTTTGACAAATCCCAAGCCCGGCTTGTAACACAGTCGAACTTATTGTGTTAGGCCCGAGGTCAGGCCTGCGGGCCTAATTACATGACCAAGCCCGACCGGGGTGTGGGCCAGGCCGGGCCATCGGACTACTCAGCCCATGAACATGTCTACCCACCGTGCATTGGGAATATCTCCCATAAATAATAATATACAAGTATGGGAGATATACGAGGTCGATGTGAGGCGCAGATCTGGTCTCGCCAATTACAGCCTTGGATCATATACCGTCAATTAACCGGGACCCAGAAAGGTAACCAGGTCCCTTGGTTCACCGGTTCAACCGTCCAGTCTGGCCTGGTCCGAATGAAGACGATCACGAATTCACCCGAATCCGTCACGTTGAAACTTGAAACTGCTGAACTGCATCTAAAATCCAAGTTCTTAACTGGCTCAAGAACGGTAGTTTCACTGTCTCTAAACGCACGCCACTTGACCTTTAAAGATGACGAGGTTGATCAATTTCGTGCGCCGGAATTACAGAGCTGTTCGAGACGCAGAGTTGCTTCAAGTCTTGCAATCGGAGCTCAAATACGAGCAATCTTCGAGCACGTTTCAGGTGATTCAAGCTCCATGAATCCACAGACGTAAAAATTAAGAATCCCGTCTGTAAAACCCTAGCTGTTCATAGCTAGTTAAAGTTACCGTAGCGACCATAACAATGATCTCTTAAGAACACATTTAAGTTGTTTTGCTCTTTTGTATGTGGTAACCTTGATATCTTCGGCAGAGGCGTCAGGCCGGTTCTTTGGGGGATTTCGTATTGGAATGGGACGCACCTCAGTCCCAAGACGTGGTTCTGAGGAGGAGATATGATTGGGGAGAAGAGATCGCCATTTCAGCTTTGCTGGGTCCTAATGCTCTTGAAGGAGAGGGTTTGCTGCCAAGGCAAGCTTTGATGAAAGTTTGCGTGAAAAAGCAGGGACTGAACTCTGTTCTGCAGTTTGATTGTCGTATTTCAAGGAAAGGTGATGATGGATCTGAGTTTTCCATATACAATGCCTATCACCATCCATCTTCGAATTGCTTTAGAGATTCGGACTACAGAGGCCCCTTATTCAGGTCATATTTTGGTTATCGGTTCCTTTTCTTGCATCTATTGGAGAAGAAGTATTAAGATGAAATTGTTTACTGAACTTTTGTTTCATTGTGAAATTTATATGTTTTACATGAGTTCCTTTAGGAGCTTCTTCTGGGAACATACAAGTCTTGGCCCCTTGGAGCAAAAAAAGAATGAAAAACCACAACATAATGGACCTCTAAGGAGGAATTAAAATGGTTCCAAACTTCTGAATGGTGGTGGCTTCTATTGCATGAATTTCATCTTGGGATGTTTCTTCTTAACTTTCAATTAGATTTCGGTAAATATGTAAGTAAAACATGATTGTAATTAATATGACCAGGGATACTCGTAATTGTTTTCTCAGACAGTTTCCCTTAAAGAAGCAAAGATTGAAGAAGCTGGGTTAATGAAGTGGAGTTATTTATTTATTTTAGTTTTTTTGTTAGTATTAAGGAAATAAGAGAAGAACAAAAAAGAAGGGGGTAAAATATTTGGAAAATAGGATAAAGATCTAGTTCATTTGGGTCTCGATGTAGTCAACTACCTGGCAGATACGTTATCTAAGGTTTTGTTTCATCTGCTTCTTGGACCAGTCTTGGTTGTTTTTTGATCAATAGTCTTTATGATTGTTTGATGTTTTCTTTATATTCTGGCCCTTCCTTTCACCTATATAGATGGAATGTTCTTGTACTCCGGAGGTTTCTTATTTCTGCTATTAAAAGCAACTTTACCTATGTAATGCTTGTTGTTTTGTTTAGAGCTGCTTCCTGATGTACATCTTCTCATGTACTATTTCACTTTTTAATGAATATAGTTATCTTCTCTGAAAAAATGAATCAGTTCTGCCTTCCTCTTAAGGAAGGAGGCCTGAGAATCCAAAAGATCAAAGATGTCAATATAGCTCTGCTTGGGAAGCAGATCAAGATGTTTTGGATGGATAGAGAGAATGTGGTAGAGGCGGTTGTTTGCTGCCAAATTTGGTGTCTCTAGAGGAGTTGGACTTCAGAAGACTCCCTCTCTTCCAATGGTTGCTTTGTTTGGAAGGGGGTTATGAAATTTTATGGCTCTTACAAGTTGGGGGGTGGTTGAGATCAGTGTTTTAAAAGCGAAAGGCACAAGGTGAGGCACATGCCTTTTTGAGGCAAGGCACACAATTTAAAAAAAAGCTAAAAAATCAAAAAATTCAAAAAAAAAATGCAAAAAATTCAAAAAAAATTATAAAACATAATATTAATAAAAAAATAAACTTAAGTTTTAAAATAAATGTTTTAAAATACCTATTATCTAAAATTAAAATACATAAACATTATATGTAAAGCATATTCAAATGAGAATTTAAAAATGAAATCAAACATATAAACCATTTTCAAGCATATAAAACCCACAATCTCTTTTTTTTCTCAATTGCATCAAGTAGCCAATGTGACATATTACATTCCTAATTCTGTGAGCCGCCTTTGTGCCACGCCCCTCGAGGCAAGCCCAAACAAGTCCATGTTAAGGTCTTAAATTCTTAGTTTTCACACAAAAAATAATGATTTTATAGTTTTAATTTCTTTTAAGAAGATATTTTATTAGGATGAATGAATGGACAACATTACCAAATAGGGGGTTCTTGAAGCTTCGGTGAGTGAGTGAACGCCTCGGCTAAGGCGACAAATTTTGGGCTACCAACCGCTAGACTGGTAGAGAGATTGGGCTAGGTGGCAATTCCGTCGGGGATTTATTTTGGTCCTACCAGTTGCCAGACTCAAAAAAAAAAAGGAAAAAGTGGCAAATTTTCAAAAGGCACACCAAGCGTGCGCCTTTTGAATGGGCTGCACCTAGGACTTGAGCGAGGTGCCTACCCTAAAATGCGCCTAGGCGCGCCTTTTAAATCATTGGTTGAGATTTTGGTTGGATAATTGGAGCAATGATAGGCCTCTAGCTGAGCTGTTCCCTTAACTTTTTCAGCCAGTTGAGAATAGGGATGCATCTGAGGTAGGCTATTATCAAATTCTGGGTGGCATTGTGGTTGGTCTCCTATTTTTAGGTAACAAGTAAAATGAAAAGTTATTAACAGAGAAGAAGAAAAAAGGAATACTAACAACAATGATAAGAAATCGCCCACAGACAACACCCACAAACTGAAAGAAAAAAGAGCACTAGTAGACCCTTGTCTATGCAAACCATCCAAAACCCCAAACAAGATGCACGACCCACACCAAAAATAAATGCAACCTCATAAGGAAAAAGAAAAAAGAAAAACGGTCCTAAAAACAACCATCAATCAACACCCTAACTCAACTGGCAGCTAGTGGGGGTCTACCTTTTCCTGTTAAAGAGGTGTGGAGCAAACCTATTCCACCTAGGATTGGTTGTTTTTACTAGGAAGCATACCTGGAATGAATCAACTCCTGTGACTTGCTTCAAAGAAAAAGATCAAAGAGTCTATGGAGACTCTGTTAGGGGTAGTAACCACTGTAAAGCTAGATGGAGCCAATCATTTGGCCTGGTCTTAGTCTATAAAGATTCATGTGTGTAATAGAGGGAAATGGGGGTACATCACCAAGAGAAAGAAGAAACCTACGGAGGATGACTTTACCTATGAGAGGTGGATGCAGGAGAATTACACAGTAGTGGATTGGTTAGTAAATTCCATGCAACCACATATTAGCCAACACTACCTGCGGATGGAGACTGTAAACGAAGTATGGGACAATGCTACAAAGACCTATTCCCAAAGGTTGAATGTTGCTCAGGCCTACAAGCTGAAGAATGATGTGAATAATCTAAGGCAGAGGAGAAGCCCTTAGCCGTCTACTTCTTCATGTTGAGATCTCTTTGGCAAGAAATTGATTTGGAGACTATTGTATGGGGGTGCACAAAAGATGCTAAGGCGCATAGAAAGTTAGTGGAGAGAAATTGGGTTTTTGAGTTCCTCCCCAGACTCAATCCAGAGTATGATATTGTGAGACAAAATGTTTTAGGCTTTTAGCAAATGATGAGGTGACCTTGTCTCAAGCCTATGCTATGATGAGTAGTGAGGAGAGCAGGAGACAGGTCCAGCTTGTAGAGCCTCAAATTGATCACTATGCTAATGTTGGGATGAATCTGAAGGTCAATACTGGGAAGAGAGATGTCGTGTGTGAGTATTGAAAGAAGGCCCACTACAAGCAGAAATAAAGCTACTTAAATAAAAGAAAAACTAAGGCCCATTCAGCCCAACCTCTCTACATCTTCCTTCTCCACAAAGTCATTCTATGCAACTTCCATAGAGGAGGTCTCAGGCTCCAATGCACATGTCATTGTTATGAGCCCGGGAATAGGATCTCGTCACGCGGTCCACGGGGAAAACCTCTTGTTTTCCCTTGTTCCTCCTTTTTCTTGATGAACCTATCTTGGCGCCTTAATGGTGATATTTGTCCAAGAGATCACCTAACTCTCCTCTGCTCTCTTTCTTGACTGAAATTTTCGATGATTTTTATTCAATATTCTCTTGTAATCTCCTATTTTAGGAGATTACAAGAGATAAGAGTCCTACTTCTAGGAAGACTCCTTGCTAATTAGGAAGACTCCCTACTAATCTATCCTACTGAACTGATAAGATAAGATAAGCCTCCCTACTAATCCATATTACTGAAAACAATACTGAACAGATAAGATAAGAACTGTATCTAGCTAGAATTAGATAAGATGAGAATCAGCAAATCTTGCTCCCTTTACTGCTGCTGCCGGCGACGATATGTCTTCCCAATACAAGCGTCCACATCATTACTCCTGTTGAGTGGGCCGACTTGTGTTTAGTTTATTTCCTTTTAAATTAAGATGTTGTTGGGCCTTGGGCCCATTAGTTTTTATTTTTTAAAGAGCTGTAATTACTTAGGTTGAGTTGCCGCCCTACTAAGGGCATCTTTGTAATATC